TGACAGGTCACATTTTGGAGCCTCTTTCTGTCACAAATCACTTCCTCTTTCTAGCACCTCTTCTTGTGGAAGTGAATAACAAATAACTTACTATAACAAACACCTGACATTTTACTTTTTTGGTTATTTTTTGTAAAGAACTATGCAGTTATGTCCTCTAAACCTGGCTCTAACACATCCTTATCAGACCAAAACCCAAACTCTAAACAAGGCTGAGTTTCTAAATGCATTTGGTATTCACCCAACAGTTCTGATAGCCGGCCTCAAAGACCATTAAAATTTAAGAGAAGCCATGTAATGTCTGCTTGGTGACATCAGGGCACGGGCTGTTAGCCAAATCTGCATGAATCAACCCAGAGCTTTGAGCATGCTTAAGCAATCATGACCTGGCATAAGGTCCGTGTACGTAATCAATTATTCATTTGGAAGGTGTGGAAAGTCGGCCCATCTGCTGAGGGGAGCAGTCCTGGCTGAGTTATTGAGCTGTAGGCCGCTCTGCCTCTTCATAATGATCCAACTATGTGTTGCTCTGCAGCCAGACCAGTCACCAATGTAAACCAATATGGCTATTCGCAAATATCAGCAGCTCTGCTTTCATTTTAACACTCGCTGAAGACTTTTCATTTTTATTTTACTTTGCATTAAATGTTTGGCTAAAGCCACCGAGCACAGCTCCAGAATAAGCACGCTGCAGCTTGTTTATCGTGCCTTGAAGGATGTTGATGTTTTGTTTCTGATAATGAAGCAACTGGAGAGGTGATGCACCACTTCATCAAAAAGGGACGACTTCTACTTCTAGGGGGGGAAAGGAGCTCACTCCTGATACAAGCACACTGTCACAAATGACTCCTGTGTTCCTCATACAGACATCACTCATATGAAATCTGATTAACAGCAAATCAAACACTAATCTTGAACACAGATGTGATTTATAGACATGGCAGAGTATATCCAGGGGGCGAGATCCACTGGAATCCCAGTTTCAGTCTCTGATCACTCTGTTCAGATTCTTTAAATATTTTTATTACTACACATCAGATGGAATTATAACTCCATGTGTTGATTAAAAACCACCGAGTTCCCTGGATCTTCGTTGGAGCTACACTGCGCCCTAGAGGTTAACAGTAGTAAAGAGCAGGCAACAGGTCCACCCTCTGCTACTACTGGACCTACTGGCCTGTGTTAAGACTCTGAAAGAGGATAAAAAGGAGAAAACATCGACTTTTAAAGACAAAGCAAGCCCTCAGCAGAAAAGGCAGAGACTCATCAGACCAGGCTGTCAAGACTCGACCTCTTTGGCATACCTTGATTGTAATGAGTGCTTATTAGAAACTAAACTAAAGCGATGGTTGTGTTGAAAAATGCCAAGAGATCCACAGTTTCTGAAAAACTCAGACCAGCAACCACCACGCCTCGTCCAAATTCAGCTTTCCTCCTTATTCTGATGCTCGGTTTGGAGTTCAGCAGGTCTTCCTGGTCATGTCTACATGCTGAAATGCATCGAGAGCCCGCCCCCCAATTGGCCTATTTGATATTTGCATGAATAGGTAGATGAACAGGTACAAGTTATTTCATTTAAAGTATATTAAATAAAGGTTTCAGTGTTATAAGCTAAAGTCGGTGCTTTGCGTGCCACGGCTGTCATTTCAGATAGACCGTGTTGGCTGAAATAGATCATTATGTACCAGGATGCAGTCTTTTTTCTTTTGCCTTGTTCACGCTCAGAGACGAGGACTCAAATGCAGGCTCAGCTCTTTAATGACTTCATGAGTTTGATATTTGCAGTTCTGCATGAAGCCATCTGTGAAGTGATGGAAGGTGGAGCTCTGCTCAACGCTGGACTGCATCGGGAGTAACAACGGTACTCGTCTGCCATCTAGTGGTAGAAAACATGGACTACATTACTGACGGCGCTGTTGCAGCTCTGGTTATGAAACTGACCACTTTAATAACCAGTAATAACATGCAATTTCAATGTATTTGAAATTTCAGCGCAATTATATTTTACTACAAATACTTAAAGGTAGGTACACTAGAATACGAGGGTAGGGAGTCGGGTTTTTACAGGAAACAAAAAGAATACATACGTTCACGTAAAGTATAATTAATATGTAAGTAATTTTAAGTGGTGCCTAAATTCTGGGTATTTTACCATCCAAATCCCAAACAAACAGTGTTCCACATTCTTGATTTTTAGTTCTTATGATGACTTATTACTCCTGAAACTTTGGAGGTTTTAGCTCTTTAAACGGTAAACTTACAGGAGGATCTTGGCTCAACAACGTTAAAGCAAAAGTAACGAGTTTTGAAAATGCAATGTGCAGGAATTAGATATTTGTTTAAACATGCAGGGAGTAAAAGTAAAAAGTAGGAAAAGAATTACATAATAAGTGTATTTCAAAAGGAACATAAGCGTGTGATTATTACACTCACCGCAGTTTTAAAATGAATGAGAGACAACGACTCCTACTGTGGCAAAACTTTACTGAATCATGATCAGGTGTTCCAGAAAAATACGAGTTTATATAAAAATGAGACTTCACAGTCTGATCTGTAATACTTCCTCTGTAATTAGAAAACACCTCAAGTCTCCTCAGAGTAGTAACTATACTGCCAAGGTAGTCTTAAAAAATATACGTCTACTTCATATCAACAGCAGCTGAAGCAGTTACAGTGAAAACGTTAAACCTGTATGCTACAACATGTAATATCTGAACAATGACACTGAGCTGAGGCGTAAACGCTGCTAAGACGACATCGAAGAACAGCCGGCTTCCCTTGTTGAAGACATAATGAGAAGTACTACAGAGCCACAACCTGAGTGAGTGGCCAGACGTGGTGATTACAGTAACAGTGAGATACTACAACTCTACCATTCGAGGGTCAAAGTAAGATATTTAATAACTCCCACGGTGCCGACGTAGGCCTCACCTCGCTCTCATACAAAACCAGCTTTCAGGATATTTCACAGGTTAAACGATTCCAGCAAAGGTGACGTACGAGTGGCATCTCAGCATTTTCCCATCAGACACGTAGAGCACATTCATGTACATAAGGCAAAGTAACAGCTACGACATGTTGGAGAGTCCAATCCAGTCAGATACCCGGACACACCTCCCACCACGCAGTCCAGCGATCACAGGAGCTAAAAGTTTAATGATGAGTGAGCAGGAACGAGAGTGGGGTAAGAGTGTGGATTCGAATTTACATTATAAGATGTGATCGGAATCAAAACAGGAAGTCCTCGTGATGGTGGGGTGGGGGGCATTTAAAAGCATCGACAGCTACAAAGAGCAGGAACAGGATCATAAAATAAAAAAATCAGCTGAAAAACTAAAAACATCATCATCATCATCTAATGTGGGAAAAAATAAAAATCAGCTGAAGGTCCAGTGTTTGAAGGTAATCCAGTGACGTTTCCAGATCCAGTGGCTACATCATGTAGCGTTAGCGGGTTTAAACGCGCTGCACTGCGTGATCTCTTATATTCGAACACTTCAAGCTTATATCTCGTGCGTCCATCATCCAGTGTCGTTCAGCAGCTTCCCAGATGAAAGCTCAGAGATCCAGCGGTTTGCACTGCCGGTGCTTAAACTCAGAACCAGGGCGAGAGCTTCCACCAGAGTCTCAAAGCAGGCAGTGATGCTGCCGACAGCGCTTTGGGTGACTGGATGGACTCGGTAATGGCAGGTTACTAACGTGGTGCACAAACAGGAGATTAAAAATAAGGTTTTCTTAATGCTGAGGCTAAAATGTTTGTATACACCATCTTACAAAGACTAAGCTCGACGCCATGAGATCATTAAAAGAAAGTACTTCATATTGCTGATCTGTGTAGCTACGGTTGTGGTCGCGGCGGTTTGCAAGCTGCCTCTTCTTTTGCGTTTTCAGACTCGGCCGGCCTGCGTGCGGGTGGGTGAGCGGGTGAAGCGGGAAAGCAGGCGAAGCGGGAAAGCAGGCGGGAAGATGAAGAGCGTGATGGCGGCCGCTCGTTTCTTCGTCAGAGCTCAGTGGTCAAGAGACCTCTGGGTTTGGCTCCATCCTCTGAGGCTGGCGGCTGAGCCACAGTGCTGTGGACGAAGGAGTGGAAGAGACGGTCAAATTACTGCCTCAGAAAAGAGAAAACGTTTGTGTGCAGGAACCAGTTTTAAGAGTCGTAAGTTTGAAAGAAATTTCTAAAATGCGAACACGCTGCAGTCTGACAACCTGCGACAACTTAATAATAGCTTTGTAACTTTACCTCGTTCGATCAACAGTAAAATA